CTAGATGGAAATTCTTGTGTCAGATATTACTCAGAAAAAAACCCAAATGACATAAAAAATAAATGCAGCGCCTAAAAAGTAGAAAAGCAATAAAATGTAAGCACGATATATTACTGAAATAAAATAAGTGAGCTAAAATAAGGCTATAACAGAACAGTAGAAAGTAATGCCGGCAAGTATACTGAGGTAACATCACACATGATAAAGAAAAACTGCACCTGAAAAACAAATATTGCACATGACATTGACAGCGTTGTACATGGAAGTGAAATATTGCACATGAGAAATTAAAACAAGATGTACTGCACATGAAATGAACTGCTGCACATGATACAGAAACTGATGTTACACCAACTATTGACAAAAGTAATGCTTTAAATGATATCGATGTGATTGTTTAGACCTGAGCGTCCCACATTTTAACCGTCGTTTCTGCAGAAAGGGACACATTGAAAGTCCTGTAACACCCGGGAATCCAGGGACCCCCTTCGGTTTGTGTGGCTGTTTGTGGGAAGCTGGTGCGTACGTCTGAGCACAGGCCTGTATTCATAGCTGGCTGACAGAGAAGTGAGCTGGAAAAGTGGAAAAGCAGAGTGTGAATAAGGATTCCTGTCTGTCAGGGGAAACACGCTGCATTCACATCCCTGTGAACAACACTGAGCCATTCATCTCCAAACCTTGCACACACACACACACACACACACACACACACACACACACACTGAGGACTAGCGTGTCTTTAGAGGGCTGCTGGCTGCTCTAGGGGGTGGAGGGTGGGGAGGCTGGCTGGTAGGCCATGGGAGGCTGGGGGAGGCTGGGGGAGGGAGTGAGGCGGAGAGGCAGCCTCCCCCCTCTGCCAGTACGTTCATTATCACCAACTCTAAACCAGTGACAGACTCCTGCTGCTCTCAGCTCTACTGTGCTTTAAATACATACCTGATGGGCTGAGGAGGGAAGAAATGAGGATCTGCAGCAGCTGCACATCAGACGTCCTTCAAAAATCAGAGCAGTCATTTGAGGGAAACTTGGAAGCAATGAGCCAAATCAAATTAAAGCTCGCTTTGATAAAGTCGTTTATAGATTAAATTTAACTCAGTCCAGGTCAACCTTCTTAGAAATGACTTCATTACTTTAGAATAGAATAGAATAGAATAGGATAGAAGTTTATTGATCCCTTTGGTGCAAACCTCAGGGAAATTATATTCAATCCATCAATCAGATTTATTGTTATTTATAGACAACTTTTCATACAATTAGAATGTAACACAAAGTTCTTTGTAAATATAAGCAATAAAAATGCAATAAAACAATAGAAATAACATCCTCCACCCCCAATATCATGATTAAGAACTGAGGAAATCCAAAAATACACATGAAATGATTAAACATCAGACGAGATCAAAGTGAAATAAAATGAGATAAAATAAAAAGTTTATTATTTAAATAAAAATTGAAAGGTGGCAGCAAAATTGAAGTCAATATTTATTAAACCAGATAGGAAAATAATTAAAAATACATTGAATAGACTAAAATATGTGAATAAGTTCATAAACAGAGATCTCAATAAATAAAACTAGTTCTAAGAAGGGTCATCAATAAATAAAATCCTTTAAATTGATCAAAAGTCTGACTAAAAAAGATCTTTATTGCATCATTTTACAGTTAATGATGAGATTTACTGGTAAATGCTGTAACTGGACTTTCCAGCAGCACGCTGTATTATTTATTGTTGTCACTGTAATCAACCAGAGGTTCAGTTACTTCTAAACCACATTTTATTTTTTTTAAATGTTTTTACACTGATGTGAATTTGCAGGAAGACGCCATAAATGACAAGAAGTTCCAGAGCTGAGATCAATGAACTCAAACGACTAAAACACACAAAATAACGAAGAATAAAGAATGAGGCGGGCAACGTTTTCATGGATTTTTAACATTAATTCAACTAATTCAAAAGAAATTGAATTGAATGAAAAAAGGTAAAAATAGCCTTTCTCAGTGTAAAGCTATCAATAATATTCTCAGTTGAATTAAACACGTTGCTGACCTTTGCTTTGTGAACTGTTGAGCAGAAACTTTTGCTCAGTTTCCACCGGTTGTGTTTTGACAGCAGCCTGCTGTTCGTGGTCATTTATCAGATTTCACAGTATTTTACTGATTCTGGTGAAACAGGACACTGCTGTTAGAGCGCGGCTGTATTTCACAGTCATTTATTACAGTGCAGCGTATCTTCAAACGTGTCAGTGCAATTTGCTGGAAAGTTAAATGAGGGAACAACAGAGTATTCATTAGGTTTTTGGTGCTTCTCTAGATTTAACAGTGCCTCCATGTGGCTGTTTGTAAAAACAGAAACCTGATGTGCACTTGGAAAGTTCTTTTTGTCAAATTGATGCATTGACTCCAAATAGGTCTGCTGATCTTTCAAGTGTTTTGCAAAACCTCTTTCCATCTGTCAAAGTTCATTTGTGATCCTGCTTGTTGACATCTCACACCATGAAAAACAATGTCGTGGAAAACTTTTTCTCTTTCTTTACTTCAGACAAAGTGCAGAGAAGAAATCTGATCAACGTTTGGTGGCTTAAAAACTCAACAGATTTGATAACAAAACATAAAAGTAAGAAAACTGTATTAATCCAGAAGGAAGTTCTTGTGCCAGATGTTCCTCAGAACAAACAACATGACTTAAATGCAGTAGGACAGAAAAGCACTGGCACATGCTAACTATTTAAATATCCAATGTAAATATAGAAGTTATGGTTGCCATCGGGCTGCAAGGTGGCTCGGTGGTTAGCATTGTTGCCTTGCAGCTAGAAGGTCGCCGGTTCGTGTCCCAGTGGGGGCACCGGGATCTTTCTGCGTGGAGTCTCCATGTTCTCCCCGTGCAGCGTGGGTTCTCTCCGGGTTCTCCGGCTTCCTCCGATTCCAGCCAAGTATGATTCTTCACTGTTGACCATCTTTAAATCATACGAAGCATTTTCTGTCACTAACCCTGGTCTAACTTTAGCTTTAACAGTTACGGAGGAGAATCCTAGCAGCTGAGATAAAAACCTGTTAAAGCATACATTGCTTTGTAAGTTCTGCATAAACATGATTTGTCCTCCAGCAGACAAAGTTGAAGTGATTCTGGCAAAGTCATAACTTCAGGAGACGACCTGTCTGCAGACAGACAGAACCAGAGTCCAGGTTACATTCCCACCACAACTTATCTTCTAAACAAGAAAACATTTCAAGATCCTTACAGAGTATAAACACACCCGAGCTTCTCTTGCAAACCTCCCTGAAAATGATCTTTGCTGTGAGTCTTTATGAGTGTTTAAATTCAAATCCTTTGTATAATCCATCATTTAAGCCGTGTGGTTCTCCATATGTTGCATTAGCAGCGATCTTATAAGAGCTTTGGTGTTTTAAACAGAGCTTTATTACATTATCTTCTCCATTCAACTGCTTAATGATACGTCCCAAACTACTTCCTTTTTGAAAACATCCCCAGAAATCTAATTTATCTTTTAGGTTGAAGTGTGCAACAGACAACCAACAATGACGAGGAACTGCTTCTGTTTGAACTATAATAAGAATATACCAGCTGTTTATGTGAAATCTTTAAGAATAAGTGAAGTTTAGCTGTTAAATTGGACCAGTCTCTTCGCTGCCAGGCGTGTTTAGAGATGCAGTGATTTGTGACAGCGCCTGAAGGGGGCAGCAGGTTCTTATCTGGTTCCTGTCCATCCTCAGTGATCACTTATTGATCCAGTGTTTGGCCAATTTACTTCCTGTTGAATAGAGCTTTTGTAAATGAATCCTTCTCCTTACACTCATTCTATGAATAGTTTCAGATTAACTTAACTTCAGAAGAAGTTTAGCAATGGTTTAGAGGGACTGCATTATTCATATTGCCTTGTGTTGCTTTTAAATCTGGACCTTTTATAGCTCATGTAAAGCACTTTGCAATGCCTTGCTGTTAAAAGCTGTGATACAAATACTGTTCTGAGCAAATACAATATCAGTAAATTGTTGTTTTTAAAAAAAAAGTCTTGTTGAAGAAGTGAAG